ACTGTAATTGGTAACTGTTGCTACGAAATTTACCTTTTTGTTTCTATAATACAGTCCACAGCATCTGAACAAATCACGGATGGTTTTCCAATTTTCTGCCTTTGTAATGCACAAAATTTAAAACTAATAGCGTCACTGAATGAATGAAATCCCATGAATAGTGTGTTGATGAAGCCAACTTATTGTACAATTTACATTCCTTCTTAGGTTTAAAATGCATTTTCAGCTCATATGCCCATCATTATATTTTTATTTTGTAAGTAACCACTATACTATATTTATACTGAGCCGTTAGGGTAGGAATTATCATTTGTTTTCATTTTCTCGACGTGTATTCTCATAAATTTACAAATACCTGCTGTAGGTAGCTTACTCTACCCGTATAAAACAAAAAGAAACAAATAATAGCACGCTCTTCTAAGTTTTTAATTCGCCTCGCCCGATAAAAAACGGCGAAACATATCTTTTATTTTCAATTTTGCTACAAATTCCTTTATTTTATTAGGAGGTAAATAAATGGGGGAGCAATTTGCTCGTTGGAATAAGCCGAAGTCATGGGCACTATCAGATTAGCATTGATTGCCGCTACATCGATCGGTTTACAATTCATAGCGCGGGATGGACCCTCGAAGCAAGTCATTCATGAGGGTATTTATCCTAAAAATCTGACAACTTTGTTATGTTTAACGAAGTGTAAAGTCCAAACAGTAAGATTTAAATCTGTTATCCTATTTTCATTGCGAAGAATTAATCCATTTAAATGTGTGGCTGTAATACACTTACTTGTCTCACAGTAACAGGGGTTAGAATTGAAAATGAAAACCAGAAGTGTGGAGATGTAGTTTGTTTTTCGCGTTCAATACTTTTAATATAGAAAAATACGTAACAATCAAGGGATAACCATTCGAAATTAGTAGGTAATCGATTCAAATTAGAAAGCGTTTTCCTTCGACATTTATTGTAAAGATCCATGTTTGTGTAACCATTTGGGTTTTCCCCATATCTTATTAAATTAGTAAAGTGGCAAGCAAATTTTCAGTTACTAGAAAGGTGGTTGGCCCGCTAGCGAGGTGGGAATGAATATGTGAATTTAAGAGTTTGCAAATTACGTCCTCTTATAATCGATGGGAGACGTAGGCGATTTTCCTTTGTTAATCTGTATTCAATCCAAATAGATCAAGGAAGCTTATAGTTGTTTGAAATAAAGAAAAGGAAGACAGAGTGTTCATGGCGACGTGAAGAAAGGCATATATGTGAGAAGGACTGAAAAATAAAATTCACCGAAATCTGTTGGTCACAAAATAATTCAAAAGATTGACAATTTGAAACTAGCGGAACGTTATAGAAAAGCTAAGAGCAAATTATGGCAAGTCTGCTATGAACTAGTTTGAGTGTAGCTTTTGAATTGCATATCAACAATACCTGAAAGAAGTATGCTGGAGGTGAAAGATGGAAGGTCCGGAACCGTGCAAGAATGTGGAAAAAGAAATCAGAACTAAGAGTTTTAATCAAAAATCTTATCTGACGGTTCTTTTCATTCGCACGTTTTTGACAAGGTAATTGTTAGAGATTGAGCTTGGTGCTTCTTTTACAACTTAGGAGCAAAGTGTTACAGGATGCATCGAAAAATAAGAAGTTTCAGTATTAGCACAAATATATCGGTGGTATCGCGCTTGCTATAAATCCATTGATTCACAAATAAAGCTATATGGCACTTATATTTCATCAAAAAGATTGATTTAGGGGCAGCCTGTAGTCCTCGCCACTCAGCTGAAAATACGCTCACATGAGCCCACCTCATAGTTATTTGTACTGTCATTAAGACAGATACGAATTACCCCTAAATCTAGCATTGTTTAGTACCGTTAGAATCAGGGGCGGATTGGGTAGCGGGCCAGATGGAATTGCATAAGTTACGGGCCATTAAAGTATTAGTGTGTGTGTGTGGGGGGGGGGGGGTTGCTCTGAGGTGCACCACAAAAACATTTTAAAGTACTCCTTTCTCGAAAATAAATTACCATACAGTTTTTTTTTAAATTGCAGCTGATAATTAAAAGTAACAAAATATACAATCCACACGAGGTGCGTCGCCTATCATTGTATTTCAGCACTTTCATGCTAAAAATTAATAAGAAAAAGTGTTTTCCCGAGAAATCTTGGTGTAGTTGATTTTTGGAAAAAAAGGAAGGTTATACACTGCCTTTTTTTGAGCCCCGAAAAAAAAATTGTCTGAGATCGACCGGAAAAACATTTTCTTATAGAATTTGGCCCGTAGAATCCATAATTTCAAACAATTTGAAGATTGGGCTACTAGTTCTAAAGTTACAGCCCTTTTAATTTTCTTTCGAAATTGGTTTCTAGTCTATAACTTTTGATTGAGAAGTCTGATCGAAAAAGTACGAATTGTATTTGGATTCTACGCACCAAAATTAATAAGAAAAAGTGTTTTCCCGAGAAATTTTGGTGCAGTCGATTTTTGGTAAAAAAGGAAGGTAAATAACTGCCTTTTTTTGGGCCCCGAAAAAAAAATTGTCTCAGATCGATCCGGAAAAAAAATTTTCTTATAGATTGTGGCCTGTAGAATCCATAATTTCAAACAGTTCCAAGATTGGGCTACTAGTTCAAAAGTTACAGCCCTTTGAATTTTCTTTCGAAATTGGTTTCTAGTCTATAACTTTTGATTGAGAAGTCTGATCGAAAAAGTACGAATTGTTTTGGATTCTACGCACCAAAATTAATAAGAAAAGGTGTTTTCCCGAGAAATTTTGGTGCAGTCGATTTTTGGTAAAAAAGGAAGGTTATACACTGCCTTTTTTTGAGCCCCGAAAAAAAAATTGTCTCAGATCGTCCCGGAAAAAAAATTTTCTTATAGAATGTGGCCTGTAGAATCCATAATTTCAAACAGTTCCAAGATTGGGCTACTAGTTCAACAGTTACAGCCCTTTGAATTTTCTTTCGAAATTGGTTTCTAGTCTATAACTTTTGATTGAGAAGTCTGATCGAAAAAGTACGAATTGTTTTGGATTATACGCACCAAAATTAATAAGAAAAAGTGTTTTCCCGAGAAATTTTGGTGTAGTCGATTTTTGGTAAAAAAGGAAGGTTATACACTGCCTTTTTTTGAGCCCCGAACAAAAAATTGTCTCAGATCGACCCGGAAAAAAAATTTTCTTATAGAATGTGGCCTGTAGAATCCATAATTTCAAACAGTTCCAAGATTGGGCTACTAGTTCAAAAGTTACAGCACTTTGAATTTTTTTTCGAAATTGGTTTCTAGTCTATAACTTTTGATTGAGAAGTCTGATCGAAAAAGTACGAATTGATTTGGATTCTACGCACCCAAATTAATAAGAAAAAGTGTTTTCCCGAGAAATTTTGGTGTAGTCGAATTTTGGTAAAAAAGGAAGGTTATACACTGCCTGCCTGCACCACAAAAACATTTTAAAGTACTCCTTTCTCGAAAATCAATTACCATACAGTTTTTTTTTTAAATTGCAGCTGATAATTAAAAGTAACAAAATACAATCCACACGAGGTGCGTCGCCTATCATTGTATTTCAGCACTTTCATGCTACGACAAAAAATGATAAATTCATTGTAAAACACTTCAATTAAAACAGAATTTTTTAACAACCTAACATCAACCCCAATATTAGAGAAACGTGTCAATAATTTATTAATAGTGCAAGAAACTAAATACAGCACATACTTATAAATTTCCAAAGGGCCATTATGATCTACAGGCCAGGTGGCAATCGCCACCCGCCTCCCCGTGCCAGTCCGCCCCTGGTTAGAATCCCTTTTCAAAAGCACCGTACTAGAGACCTGTTAAATTTGAAAAATAAAATTACTCTATTGCACCCACACTCCCATCCGCCACTCTTAAACACTATACCCCATATCAAAGGGGCATAATTTTATAGAACTCTACGGAAATACTTGAATTTGGATGGACTCACCATCAGGACACAATTTCAACATAAGCGGTGGCGCTAGTAGAGCTCGTTTCAAACATGCACTAAGATTATGAGACCGACACGCGTTATGTAGACGCGTAGAAAGTTGCGAATGTTTATTCCATATCTTTTAGGTTTGGTGTTACACATGATGTAAAATAATAAGAGGTGCGTGAAGTCCCTACTTGTTATATAAGCACAAAACGAATCTAGTTTGTAGTCGATGATGTAAGAGAAACGGAAACTATAGGCTCATTTTGTTACACTTCCGCAAGTTTTAGTTTTAGTAGGAAAGGCATTTATTTCAAAACGCAAGACAAACCGTAATAGATACGAAAAAAATAGTATCAAGAAAATAGTTATAAGTTATCCCGCGAGATCATGTCTATCTTCAGCCGTTTTTAAATAAGTATGTTTTACGTAATGCATGATTTGCTCTGTTTTACATTTTAATAGCAATAGTAGTACTGAAATCGGAATTTTATGTAAATATAAAGTTTCATACCGTTTTCAATGCAATTTTAAAGGGTTACTGCTCTGTAGTAGCTGGATTGTAGGATTGAAGTTATACGGTACCATAACATTTTAATTGCAACTCTTTCCCGCATCGATTTGACTACAAACATACATTATACATATTTAATGAAGCAGGCTTTCTAACTATATACTAATTTCAAATTTTGCGAATCCATCTTTGATGCTTCTCAACAGCTGAAACGGTTTCCAATAGGTATACTTCAAAATGTTTAAATGTCATTTCAGTCTTCTCCTTGGGTACAGTGTCCGCTCTTCGCTAAAATTGTAGTAAAGTTATTAAATTTTAAACCGAATCTTAAAACTAAAGCACTTTGGGCTAAATCAATTAGTTTTCATAAGGATAAAATCACTTTTTCATTTTGAACGCGTACGAAATTGATAGGTAGAATAGCGGGTTGAAGCGAAAATCTGAAAAGTATAGGTACTTTCCACTTTCATTTTAGGCTTTCCATCTTTAAAGAGGAACATGCTGATCTATTTTCTAATAACGTAAATTTTTTGCCATAGTTATAACAAGCGACGAACACAATCAGGATAAAACGGCCGACGAAAAGCTTCATTCGCAGAAACATTCACCCTCAATAAATAATGTAAAGTCTACCACGAAGCAAAGAAGATCGAGAACTAACTTTACTTTAGAACAACTAAACGAACTGGAAAGATTATTTGACGAAACGCATTATCCCGATGCATTTATGAGAGAAGAACTTAGTCAAAGGCTGGGGCTTAGTGAAGCTCGAGTTCAGGTAAGGGAATGCAATTAAGATAATTAATAAATTAAAACTAGGAAGGGGTTGATTTGAGTAGAGCTAGAGGGAAGTAAAAACCGTTAGCGTGAACAAATCATTTAAAGAATGTGCATAAACCGTTATTATATATACTTAATTGCATAATGAAGTTTGAAAATAGGCAAATGATAATTTCATTTCTCGGTTGTTTCTCTCCAAATTCAACTTACTGGAGCTGGTAACAAAACATTACACGGGGCCACAATACCTAAAAACCTAGCCTCATTGCTGTGAAAAAGTTATTAATTAAAAGAAAAATTAAAGATTATCTCTTAACCAGTGTATTTACTCAAAAAAGCTGATGTGATGTGAAATCAGTATAGAAAAAAAAGAGCTGGCAGTTACTAGGTATGTAAAAGTGTAACCGCTGTTCCATAGTAATTGCCCTAAAAGGCTGGCAGAAAACTTTTGATCGTTTCAAGTTACGCAGTAAGGGTCCTTCAACTGAAATCTACTTTTTTATAAAAAAGTATGTAAAACATAGCAAGACGGAGCAAGACCCATTCAAACGCTATTAAAAATATTCTTGAAAAATTTATTGTTCTTTTTAATCTAGAGTGAAGAAGATATTTCGCTTTTTCACTTATCAGAAACAGAAACAACAAAAACTGAAACAATCCACTCAAATACCACAGTAAATGAAGCAAATTTACAATAAATCAACTAAAAGGTTTTAGTGTGGTGTCTTGTTATTTCAGCGGCCACAAGAGTTCCAACAGTTTTAGTCAGAAACTGAAAACTGATTTACTTCAATCTGCAGGTATCTAGCGACACGAAATATTAGCTTTTTTTTTGTATAATTTTTAACAAAATGCAGTGTTATGAGAGTTACAGTGCCATATAAATGTATGCAACTTTTTAAAAATGCGAATACAAGCTGTCCAGTTCGAAATAAAGAAAGGTTGTAATGATAACTTCTAGCTGCAGCTACTTCTATAAGAAGATATCGGAGACGGGTAAAGTGGTATTTATGAAGAAATGTCCAGGAAATGGGAGATTTACGGCCTCAGGGCAAAAATAACTTTATTATAGGTAATGTTACTGATTTTAAGGTGGCGTTTACATAGGAAAATTGGAAATTTGTTTCCACAATAACTGCCGTCTGGGTACAAATTTTTGGTTGAAATAGCCTTCATTCAAATATATAATGTTCCGACATTTGCATGAAACAAAAATTATTTAGCTAATTCCTGTACTTTCGCCATTATTTAGGAAAGAAGTTCTTAAAAAACTCCCATATAAAATATATATCTTTCATTTTTATCACACACTGATAATCATTTGTTATCAAATTTAACGTCATTCATACGCTTAAACCCTTAACAATCATCGGTCGTTAACAGAAGTTTATTTTTTTTACCTCGAAACAAAGTTATTGAGGAAATAGCAAGGCAACTTTTGCACTATTTGTGAACGCCACCTTAAGGAAATGGATGCAGGTTAGACGAAAATTCAGTAGGAGCTCGACGGCTGCGTGGAAAGCAACAAGGCGACCTTGCATGGATTGCACCAAACCAACATTTTTCGACAAATGATTGACAGATCTGAATCCCTGACCGTCTATACAGAGCAAAAAATTACATTTACTTATACTATGAAGAAGCACAATCTCAACACCCAATTCAGAAGCATATTCATATACGGCATACAAAGATCAGGACTACCCACTTCAAAGTTCGGGAGAAATTCCAGGCTTACAGTCACTCGAATGCAAGCTTTAATGCCAGACAATCACTTGTAAAATGGCATTTAGATCAGAAATGGTTCTAATCGATTAAATCACTCCAGTTAGTAATGTTGTGCTATAATATGAAAAACGATTTGCCCATCCCATGTTTAAAAAAATATTCATTGTCAGCTTAAATAGAAAGAAATTACTAGAACACTAGAACCCACATGGCATAGCGAAAGAGTCTAGTCAATTATGGACATACGTAAGAAGTTTGGTACAGCTCGAATGTGTTCCTCACTAACAAAAGACCTCAACCATCATAAAATTGGGTAACAAGATAGAGGATGAAGTCATGATCGCATGCAATTACAATCCCTCCCGATAATTATGCCTATATAAGAGCCGATCATTTTAAAAACCCGGTGATAAAGTTATTAATTGCAAAAAGTTATTATTCCCTAAAGGAATATTTAGAGGACACATTATAAAGAAATTCGCATATGTATGTCAAATTGTTTTTACTTGTTGTTTTTTGTGTTGTAATGACATATCCCACAACGCTCTAGTTCAAGGGACGAATCAAAATTATTATCAACTGACCATTCGATGTAATACATTAGACAGTTTAGATGTCTTTACCCCCTCTTCTTCGGCTCTACAATCAAAACGCTGCACTTTGAGCAGCAATAACGCTTTCTTTACATCTTTTTTTCGAAAGTCTTCGATACAACACTTATTGCTTGTTGTTCATACGTCGTTCAATCTTGCGGTCCACATCCGATATTCTGTTCTGGTAGATGAGCCAAACCCATGAGCAATTATTTGTAAAACCGTTCTCCCCAAATTTGATTCCATCGTAATTTTGAAAACGGGCGCGCGTAAAGGATATGCAATTGTGTGCAACCGGGCGCACACAATGCGTAATCCATAACGAAATTTTTTGCTTCCTAAAATTGAGGGGCCAAATTTACACAGGTTAAAGTTCCCTATGGCCCTCATACTCAACTAAACATTTAAACTTTTTGACATTATGGAATCTCCTTATTCCTTTCAGATACAAGTGAATATCAAGTATTCTGTTAGCGTCTTAAAGTCAATATTTCGTCTTAAAGCAACACTTCAGCGTGACTAAAAAAATTGAAAAATATATACATAAATCTCGTTACTTTGACAAAAAGGGTGCGTAATATTCTAAACAGAAATATGACAAGAAAATATACAAGTAGGGCAAATATGCAGACAGTAATGAAAAGGTATTTAACGAATATGACTTTGATGAATGGTATAGTTACGTTATTCCAAGGCAATGGATTTCCATTCCATTAGAGAGGATTAAAATAAATTACTCTAGGTGCGTTAGCGTAAGTGGTATTAAATAGGGAAAAGCTAAAATTTAAATCTGTAAAATAAGGTTTCGGTTTATGGCTACCCCTAGCGTCATTCCGATGAGTACATACGCAACACTTTAAATGACGTAAGGAAGGGCTGTTCACGTAAGGGACGGGTTCGAAAGAGAACATGCTGAAGGCGATGCGATCAAAAGAGTTGGTAAATTTAATTAATCGAGAAACCTTAATCGATTGCATCGCACATGTATCGATACCAACCCCCAAACAACACAATACAATCAGTCAGTCGTAATAGCCAAACTGTGTCGTTAATCTACCACTTAATTGTTTCTATTCCCATTCCCCGCACATCATACGTATTCATTAGGAAATTATCCGCTAGTAGCAGCATTAGCTCGACTAAATCGTGTGGAACCGATGTCGCAGAAGAAACACAACATATATTTAATGGGATTTAACCATCGGGGAGAATCGGATTTTTATACGGCCAGTTCGAGAGTGATTGAATTTTATTGATTTGTTAATGGTCACAGTGCTAATGTCTTCTGTCCTGCTCAAAAAAAGAGCATTAAGCCAATATTGGTAAATGTCCAAAGAAATTCTGTCACATATATTTTCATAACTTCCTTGCTTTATATATGCGCTGCTTGCGCTTCTAAAGGCGATCAGGGAGTTCCTTACAATGTACCAATTTTCATGTACAAAAGTGATTGATTTGTGCATAATAAAAATTTAATTGTCTGTTTACGTTTTCCAGGTTTGGTTTCAAAATCGGAGGGCGAAATGTAGGAAGCACGAAAGTCAAATGCAGAAGGGTAAGTTCAAATGTGCCCTCTATTTTCAGGTGGTTCGGCGCAGTTTCAGATACAGCAATACTACCTCAAATTAATAAAAAACGATATTGGGGGTTGGAATAGTTTATAAACGAAGTTAGATTTTTTGGGAAATTTCCATCATGTAAACTGCAGAAGTTCCAACACCTCCAATAAATTTTGAACATATAAAGTTATACTTCAGTACATACCCAAATATGACGTCGAAGATAAAAAAAGGGACAGGCTAGTGTAAAATTAGGGCTCATTTTGAGTAGGAATAAATAATGACGAGCTCGAACGGAAAATAAAGAAAACATGTGTTTTAAAATTGAATCTTTTCATCGAAAATAACAAGCGGATTGAAATGCCTGTATGTTTACTTCATATTTTAAATAAGTTAAAGTGGCGTTAACCCCTGTTTGAAAATGTAATTTGGTCAAATGCATAGGGGAGCGTGCAGTGTTGATGTGAGTGCTTGGCAGTAAGTGTAATTTAGTGTCCTCCTGGGTGTGTCCGGATCCTGGACCAGTCATCTTTCGCGCCCGTGTTTGAATGACTGAGCGCCGTAAAATTGCACTCGAGGGGAATTATTTGATTTGATTGAAAACTTTCTCTTACCAGCATTTTTTAACACAATCTTACATATAAATTCGATTATTCACCGCAGATTTGTTAGGGGACATAACCCATGATATATTCATGACTGGTTAGAATTATGAGGGTCGAAGCTTAGTTTAAAGATGATTTCTGTAACAAATTGCTGGTACTTCGAAATAATTTAATATTTTAACTAAGATTTACGACTTTGCATCTCGAATTCAAATACTCCAGCACTGCAAATTAACGCGACATTATTTCGCAGTGATTATAAACTCTTTAGCGACGCTCTCCTATATACTATCCTTATTTGCTTTAAATCCTTGTATTTGTATTCCAGTCTTATTTAGTGCAAAGACAAGACCACTTCTTTTTATGAGAGGAAAATAGAGAAGCTATTTATTATATTTTTACAATAATAGATTTCGTTAACTAAATATTTCGCATGTTTTAACACATATTTCAACTTGATACTAATAACGAGATTGTGCATGGATTTTTACAAAATAGGGCATACGGGTGACCACATACCAGTGGCAGTCGAGCGGCGAGTATTTTACTATTTTCGCACTATCCTCTACCACTTTAAATGAAACCTCCCTAGAAAGTGTTCTTATAATCCCCTAAGACCTCCCTAGTAACCGTTTCAGAAAACTTCTTAAAGATATCCATTTATGAAAATCTTTTCTGAATTCACCTTATTGCAAGTAAGTTATTATAGACCTCGCTCGAACCATCTCAGCAAACCTCCATTGGAATCTGGTTTCTCAAAGACTTAATATCTTCCTAGAGATCTTTTTGAAAGACTACTGTCAATTTTATTAGAAACTTTTCTGTATATTTGGGAAATTTAAGAATTATTCTTAGAAATCTTAGAAAGATTTTTTGAAATTTTCCTACAGAAGAAATTTGAAAAATCTACAAGAATTTAAATGCATAATAATTCATTCACATAAAATAATTCAAAAACAGTTTTGCACTTCAACTTTTGCCACATTTAAATGCATAATGTACAGTGAAAGACAAGGTGGAATAATTAATTTAGTAAAAGGAAAAAATGTAACTTGTTAGCTATTGAGAACCTGATTATTATAGTGCTTGATGGATTGATGGGATCGGTAATTGCAAGAAAATAGAGTCGGGCAACAAACACAATGCTTAAAGCTCATCACGAAGAAGCTAATAGGTATAATAACCTTTTTGCATATTGTTCCGAGTTCGAAAAACACGATTCTAGTGCATACAAGAGTTCCACAGCACTTTAAGTCAAAACTACGTACTGGACTTTTTAAAATGTGTAATTTCTGAACGTATTCACTTATCCAATGTTTAGAAATTGAAACATGTTCCATAAGGACGATTCACAGTTTTATAATGAATCATATCGTGTAATGAACTGTTTTTCTTGTTTCAGGGATAATGTTAAGTAATCACAGTCCACCTTCAAGCACGCCTTTGGAACCATGTAGAGTTATACCATACGTAAACGTGCCTGCACTTCGTGGTTTACCGATTCAACCTGGCTCAATGCCTTTATCAGGATATGATCGCCTTGCTCCAACATCGTTTCCTCAACCCGCTCCATTTTCAGCTTTTGATTCGGCGTTTTTATCGGCGGCACATCAGGTTGGTGCGTTTTTTTACAGTTAATTTAATTAATATCCTATATTTCAGTACGCGGCAGCGGTAGCGGTCGGTGGTGCACCCTCGGCCAGTATTTTGTGTCACCCGCAGTATCCCTTAGGATTAGCAGCACTGGCAGCCGCCCATAAAAATTCGAGCATCGCCGATTTACGTCTAAAAGCGCGAAAACACGCGGAAGCTTTGAGTTTAGCGGCACGAGAAAAAATTGAATAACTGTTGAATAATCTATACGTATTTAAGTAAAGAGAAAATACTTTGTTGCATTTCTATTATCATATGTATCCAATATTTTAACGTTACCTACTGAATATCTTTCGTCTTTATAAAACAAACAATTTGCATATGCAAAGCGACAATTCGACAATATATTTTTACTTAAACAATGAAGTTTTAGTATACTAGTACATTCACGTCACAATTACAAAACCAATTATTCGTAACCGTAAAACATTTAACTGTAATTTGATTAAAAATTAAACGTACTTGTTTGGATAATGCTTCTCTCATTTTATTAAAAGACCTCAAAATCTCGTTTGTTTTAATTGAATGAAAATTACTCGAAACGTTCAGAACCGATTTTGTCTTGGAAATGCGGTCGTGATCAAAATTAGACCTTCCATCAAATTCAATTTCAGAATTACAGGTATGACACATTTGAGATTTGATTGCAGGCGTCACAGTAAACTTTCAAATATAAATACTAGAGATATAGAATAAGGGACGGTTTTTGTAAATGAACGTCATGTGGAATCGCTGACCCTTGTTTGAACAACCACTAGGCAGCCGCTAATTCGATTACGTCCAATCAACGAGCGGGATGTCTGTAATTGTTCATGACAGGCACAAGTGCAGTGATTCCGTACTAGATTAAACTAATATGACAGAACTTCCATCTTCAATTATCGGTTTATTCTTTTAAGCCAAAATTAGTAGTTTAGGTCCTTTTGCATTCTTAATTAATTTGTGATGAAATGTCAGATTTATTATTATAAAGATCTCTCATGTAACATTCGAAGCCTACAAATGTAGATAAACTATTAGGTAGGTACATTTGAATATATGTATTTATGAATCCAATGTTTGGATCTTAGCTGTTTAAATGCAGAAGTGCCAACACGCTCACATTATTAGACGAGTAGGTATAGGTACACACCAATTCAGTGTTGCCTGTGTAGTAGCATATTCAATGACAGAAAAAATGTCCTTTGCTCATTATTGATACATACAACAGAACAATAATTATCCATACAATGCATCCTAGCTTCCAAAATCAATAAACTATAAGTATACAAACTGAGGTGACGGCTTTTGCTCATTAATGTGACGCTATATGCATTGGAACGAGTAGTTACAAAACTTAGTTTGATTGCTTGAAATTTATAACATACCTATGCATAAATTGCACTGCTCCATCGTAAATTAACCTCACCTTACCAATCTCATGGGATTAATATTGTTTGTTCTTAAGATGACTCGGAAAAGCTCACTCAACCTCTACTAACACAGGAAATCACCGTCCAATCTGGTCGATAATAAAAACCAAAATTGACTAAATGCTTGAATATATTAAATCATAAAATAATTTCTTCTTCTTTTTCTACATATACCAATATACTCATCCCCTCTTTTTTTATTTAGGGTAGTATATTATCCAAAGAAAAGTAATCAAAACTCTATGAGTTTGGCTGCATTGTAATAATTAATTCTCTAAATGATCACTTTTACAGCTAATCCTACTTTCGCTATATAATGATCTTGGCATAAGGATAACTGTGTTGAAAAATTTAAAATCTTATTTTCTAAAGCGCTAGCATAATTTTGTACCTAAATGGGAGAAGCTTCCAAAATTAAAATAAAGTAAAATTTCAACTCAAGCAAATATCTTCCCCCAGTTAGGTCCAATTAAAACACACAGAAAACATAAAACGTATTTCTAACTAAAATTGACCACCACAGTAATTTAGAGGTTCCTTCTTCCTACATTTAACCTACTTAATTCGATAAAATAGACAACTTATGGAAAGCTCGTTGCTATGGTTGATATATAGAGTTCCTTTTCTATGGCAATTGAAAAATGTTTACGTTTACTTCTCCAGATTAATAGGATGAAATCAAATCGGTGCAGTATGTGATCTCAGCTTTCCCCACTTCAAGGATATCAGCAGGTAAGTTCTTAACTACGACGCGAGTGAACCAACGTGCAACAAAGTTCATATTCTGAAATCATCTCCGCACGTTGCATTTGAACGCGTGCCTTTAGAAAAGTATATCGAAAGAATATATAACCAAAATTTATAAAAATTGCTGTGGCTAGCCCAGATACCACCGGCATACAAGCGCATGTGCGATTTTGCCCTTTTATGTCTAAGAATATGTGTAACAAATTTCGTTCCAATCGATTCAGCCGTTTACCAGGAAATGAGAGTACAGACGGACTGACAGACCGACAATAATCAAAATGGTGTTTGATTCGGATTCCTGGTGCTTCAAAACCTGTATTTCCCTCAAAAATAGTAGGGTGTCATTTTTTTATCCCAATGCAATACCCCCCTTACAAACGAGCGGGTGGTACAAATGAAGCCTACAGTTGTTTACTGGCAAAACTTAAACCACTTGATTCAGTAGTCACGAAGGAAACAGTAAAAACATTGCGAGGTAGATTTTGTAGAGAGAATGAGGAGAAATTATTGTAGAAAACTTCATATCTTCATAACTTCGACAGGTAGCGATCAAATAAAGTTTGGGGCGATGTAGCACTTCTCATGATTGTGGTCTTTTTCTGAATGTAATATAATTTAAGAAGCTCCTTGCAACATTCTTCCCCCATCCTGAATTTCGCCAATCGTCAGGTTGTGAACGTAGTTCCTTCAGTAAATTAATATGGGAATACTGCGTTTCTTTCGCCCAAATCAGATGTTTACCTCTGTTTTTGGTGGTAATTTCGTATTGTTGCACACTTCTTTTTTTTACAAACGCCACTGACATTAAATATAGGCCCCCCTGGTCAACGCCGACTTCATTTACTTGCAGAATGTACAAAAATTTGCTAATAAACAACGTACGGAGATGATTTCAGAAAATTTTCGTGCGTCTCTAGGTATGTCTGTGTCTGGCTTAACAAGTAAGTGATAAATATATTAATTGAACTGATATAAATCCATTTATTTAAGAACCGTTTTAAATTTAATTTATCGTTAATAGTGTAAATATTAATACTTAATTTTAAATAAATTAAAAATTTAAATATATGACATATTAAATTCACGTGCGGTTTATTTTTATATATCTACAATGTTGATGTGTCTTTTCAAATTCTTCACTTCGTCTAAAGGTGGTGGCCGTTTGGCACTACTGGTACTTTAATTTAATGTTCTCCTTGTATGTAAAAAGTTGCTTTGGAACAAAATTTGTTTAAAAAGTTTATTTATTTAAAGGAAATGCAATCCTAGGAATTTGTGAATCAAATTTGTTTTAGGTAGCTCCAGTCTAGTGGTCATCCTAATTACCAGTACCTATGTAAATGTAAATGTGAAATACGAGGATCCCACCATAATGATTATATCCTTATTGGCACAGTGGCGTACGTAAAAATGTATTCTGGGGGGGGGGGGGGGGGGGATTAAACAAGTTCGTGGCACATACAGTCACCCAGTGCGTACTAGAAGGGGGGGGGGGGGTAAGAAATAGAAATTGGGTTGCAGGTTGCTGATGCTGGTAGTCATTTATCTATTTATTATTGTACAGGCGAAAAAGATTAGATTAGAACGGTATTTTATTTCTTACTGCTGACAGGCCCCTTTATTGCTTTTGCTTTAATTAGTCAACGAAAACTTTGAATAATAGGTATATTTATGGGCAAAAAACCAATTTCGACAAAAAATTCAAAGGGCTGTAACTTTTGATCTAGTAGTCCGATCTTGGAACTGTTTGAAATTTCGGTCGATCTGAGACAAATTTTTTTTCTGGGCAAAAAATGGCAGTGTATTACCTTCCTTTTTTTTACCAAAAATCGACTGCACCAAAATTTCTCGGGAAAAAACTTTTTCTTATTAATTTGGGTGCGTAGAATCCAAAACGATTCGTACTTTTCCGATTAGACGTCTCCATCAAAAGTTATGGGCAAAAAACCAATTTCGACAAAAAATTCAAAGGGCTGTAACTTTTGATCTAGTAGTCCGATCTTGGAACTGTTTGAAATTATGGATTCTACAGGCCACATTCTATAAGAAAATATTTTTTTCCGGTCGATCTGAGACAATTTTTTTTCTGGGCAAAAAAGGCAGTGTATACCTTCCTTTTTTCCCAAAAATCGACTGCACCAAAATTTCTCGGGAAAAAACTTTTTCTTATTAATTTGGGTGCGTAGAATCCAAAACGATTCGTACTTTTTCGATTAGACGTCTCAATCAAAAGTTATGGGCAAAAAAATTCCTGTTTTTAAAATTTAAAATTCTTATTTTCGTCATTTCGTGAAAGGCAGGACGCAGGTACCTCACCTCAGTAGCAGTACTAAGTACCTGATACCTATTTGTTATTTTGGGCATCAATGTAGCGAATTGCCGATCGATGCCGAATAGCCAAATCGTTGACTGCCAACACTGATCACTCACTGAATAGTGAATACTGAATACTACAGAATATTAAGATTTCAGTGACTTTAGACTTTAACCAAAACCAAAATTGCTATCTATATAATATACCTATATATTATTGCCTGTATTTTAAAGTGGACGGAGCGGATAGCGGAGTATTACCTAAATACCTAATAGCTATGATGATAACTCAATTCTTCTGAGGGGGGGGATATATATCCCCTTCATCCCCCCCCCTCCGTAAATACGCCACTGTATTGGCACATTTGTGCATTCCAGACTAGCGGCGAGGAAAATTTTCAAAATAATACTTTATCAAAAAGTTAGTGGTGTAGAAAGGTGATAGAAGCCGTAACGACTCGGGTGTTGACAAAATTTATAATTTATACCGAGAGAACATTACGTTAAGGGAGTACCGGTTAATTTGAGAATCGGCGGTACAAAAACCTCGGCCATTCTAGCAAGGAACATGAAATTTTGGGATGTAGTCCTTCCAGTTCTTTTGAACTTTGATTAATAAGAAAAATCCTTTACTGCAACAAAATTGTGTTCAATAGATTTATAGATCGAATTATTAGTTACACTGTTTGTTACTTATATTTTGTCATGAATAACACTCACCAGGGGCGTGGCAAGGTAAAATTGCGTCTAGTGCAAAGTTTGTCCGAAGCGCTTTTTTTAATAATAATAATAACCATAATAATAATAATGTGGTCTTTGCATATTTTTTATTATAAATAATACTGCACTTTTAAAATATATATAAATACAGATGTTGCATACTTTTTATTTTAAAAAATCTTAGGACCTTTTGGCGCCTAGCAAAATTTGGCGCCTAGGGCACTTGCCCGGTTGCCCTACTGGATGCCACGGCCCTGACACTCACATCTGCACATCTGCGTCTAAAGGCTTGGCTGAAAGCACGGATATTCCATAAGCATTTATGCTCTCTGTATAGTTCAACTAGCGTAAAAGTTTTTTTTTCACTGAATTTACGTGCCATTTTATGAAAAAATAAAAATAAACAATACGCCAATGATAAGCCTTCGTATGTAGATTATGACGGCAAAACAGCCAAAGACAGCGACTGACGCCAACGTGTTTAGACGTTGCCTGCAAAACTGGTGATGGTGTACGGGGGAAGGGGTTGGCACACTGTGTATAATCAGTGGTACAGTATTGATGGGTGGACACGGGCCTTTATCGAGTGCTAAAGCGGATAACTTCATGTGGAATCTAACAAATGTCAAATGTGTCATAACCATGCTCTTTGCTATGCAATTTTAAATTATTTTTTGCAATTTCCTTTGACCGTAATTTAAAAATGTTTGTTCGTTCGAGATGTTTTAATCTTTTAAATAACGCTTTTAAAGTACATAGGCGATTATACATAACAGTCACATCGAAACATAAATATGTACAGGCAGCAAATCTTAATTCACCAAAAGTAGTGTCCTTCTCTGATGGTAGGTTACCGGTATTTAAAGGTACGCTTTACAATTTAGTTGGTGAATAGAAAAGAAATTGGATGAAACCTCAAAATTGCCACTGTCAAGCTTTCTTGCGAAAAATGAGGAGGAAACGCAACGTTCACGTGAAGCATCCTGGCGTACGATGAAGTACACTTTTATTATTTTTGGAGGATCAATGTCGGCACTGGCCCTATATATCTTATTTGAATTAGGAAAAGCTCCGACCGACGAGTATGGCCATCCCGTCATGGATGAGTATAGTCACATGCCCACCGTAAAACAATACCTATATAGAACAATAAGTAAACTCGATTACTATAACAAAGTAAGTAATGCGATGTGTAACAATAAATGGCCACGGATGTTTTAGCTTATTAAAGAACCATCACGTGAAAAATTGCTTCCTGATCCAGTTAAATATCCGTACTATCAGCCAACTTATACATTAGTTCTTGAATTAACAGATGTTTTGGTTCATCCTGATTGGACTTATAAAACAGGATGGCGTTTTAAGAAACGTCCAGGTAATTATACGTCGACGTCCAAGCATTCCACTCTTCAAATTGAATTTTAAGGTATTGACAATTTCTTGGAAAGCTTAAGTGGGCTATACGAGATTGTGATATTCACAGCGGAGCAAGGAATGACTGTATTTCCAATAATTGAAGCTCTCGATCCCAAAAATTTAATATCCTACAAGCTGGTGCGTGATGCTACTCATTTCGTTGACGGTCATCATGTAAAAAATTTAGATAAGTTGAATCGGGATTTAAGCAAAGTACGCTTTTGTTTTGAAACTGGCAAATTCACAATTGTCTTCCAGGTGATTGTCATTGATTGGAATCCTCAGTCGGTAAAATTCCATCCGGAAAATATATTCCACGTACAACGATGGATGGGAAATAACGAGGATACTACACTAATAGACTTGACTGCATTTTTAGAAAGTACGATCGCTTAATTTTGCTAAAATGTAAATTGGTTTTTTAGCTGTTGCACATTCAGATGTATCAGATGTGCGAGAAGTATTAAGGTATTATAGTGAGTTTGATGATCCATTGACGACATTTAGGATCAAACAAAGAGAGTTAGCAGAACTGCAAGATGCCAAAGCAAAAGTTCAAGATGTGGATAGTCCGTTGAAACGTTTAGGACGAGGTTTATTTGGTAAAAGCTTCTGAATCTCCCTCAGATTGCAAAGTGATGCCTTCATAAATATCCAAATTTGTGTGAAAAAATAAAATGTTTTTATTAATCTTATGGGGTGTGTGGGAATAGTACCAAGTAATTGACTGTATCAGTTTCCCTTGATTATGAACAAATTTTTTATAACTACAATTGTACTGCTTGCGTTTGAAGCTAATTTTGGGTATTTAGGAAGATTTGGATATAAAGAAATGTAGCTACATCTTGCATTTCATGTTCCACCTGTAAACACTTGATCGAATAAAGTTATGTTTTTTCTATTGTATTTTGATTCAGTCATTCGCGAATTTAGAGTAGCTCTCATGAAGCTGGCAAAATAGACAGTTGGATAATTTTATTGTATTTTTATTCTTGTTCTACAAAATAAAAATTCGTCAAAGTAAATGTAGCCGTCGACAGTTTTGTCCGAATTAACTGAAATAGGCAAATTTGTATGGGAGGTAAATATGCACCAAAGGACGTATTCTTTGATTTTGGTGATTTTCAGTATCACCAGAAAACTGAAATTCATTTGAATACAATGACACCTCATGTGTCAACTTTTGACATTTTAATCTAGCTAGAGTACCATGACTATGTTAAATCAGTCAATTTTTAGATGAGGAAGGCTTAGAAAAATCGATTTCATTACGTTTTGTCTTTTAGCCTTTGCATACAAAATTACTGGCACGTAAGAAGTCCAAAGATCACACATGTACACTATTCATATACCTAGGTACAGTGTAGAATCCAAAACGATTCGTACTTTTTCGATTAGAGCTTTCAATCAAAAGTTATGGACAAAAAACCAATTTCGAAAGAAAATTCAAAGGGCTGTAACTTTTGAACTAGTAGCCCAAGCTTGGAACTGTTTGAAATTATGGATTCTACGGGCCAAATTCTATAAGAAATGTTTTTTCTCCGGTCGATCTCAGACAATTTTTTTTCCGGCCTCAAAAAAGTTAAGTTAGTTCGTTAGTAAGGAAGGTTAATTATATCTAAATTTACATAAATTAATGCACATTGTAATTTACTTACCCTTAAGCGATGCTGCTGTGTGTACTTGGGTAATATTGGTTTGAAGGGCAAATGAAGTGAAGACCCTTTTTTAAATACTTCTTCCTTTTGATGCACTGCTGAACAACGTCTCTTTTTTCTGACGCTGGCTATGGTGGAGCAAGCAGAGCTGTACTGCATAATTTAAACCACACCCAATGTTTTGGGCTTGATTAGATGATGATATCCCAAAAATGTCCCTATAGAAACCCAAAATCAATCGATAATCTACTACATTATTCATTCTTTGTACCTATAGGTAATTGTATCGAAAATCTCAACTTGAATTAACCAAGATTGTAGCATGTCCAGGACAAGCAAACTGGGAAACAAAAAATGTCTAAACAAGTTGGAAACTACTTGATACGCAGAGCTACTTAAGCGCGTTTTTGTGCGACGGATCGAGGTTTTATTAGGAAACTCATTTTATAAATATAGTCCGTCTGTAAAGGTGACACAAAGCTAATGCTTCAAACCGTAGCATTCTACAATGAGTCGAGAGCTATACTTATGTGTATAAAAAAACCTAAAAAATACAGGGTGTCGTTTAAAAAAAGAAAGTTGTCTTCCTTGGTGTTGAGAAAATGCAAAAACTGATTTGAAACTCATCAGACGCTTCACACTATCTATGAGATCATTTGATAAATGATTATTTATTTTATAGCTATTTTAGTAAATTGCACTATTTCATTTTTGTTGCAGTAGGTATATTGTAGAGGTGTGATAACAATAATCAAATGAAACAGCAATAAATTCACTGAATTCAAGTTTTAAAGTGACATGATTGGATATTTGTGGTATTTTTTTGATATAACGTTGGCGATAGAGGAATTTTTGTTGTAAGTTGCAACCATTTCCGCATACATAAACCTAAAATTAATCACAAATATACCTTTTTTGCAAATGTTTCTTATTACCAATCTGTACTAATAACCTAAACTAAAATTAACCAATTTTGAGTAATATATATACACTGTTAGGCATTTAAACAAAAAAAAAATTTACATTAGGAACCACCCTGAATTTGAAAGATGACCACAGTCTCACAAAACAATGACTATGATTGTTTTCCTGTCAGTAATTGAGCATGTCCTTTTTTTTAAACACGTTTATACTAAAATGTGTGTACATCCTCACTGATTGTGGATTGAACTTGCATATATACAATACATGTACATTTATCAGGGACTTGCTATTTTATTACTGCCATCTGTACATTTTCCAATAGATCTGCAAATTGCCATCAATAAATGCGTAAATCTAGTTACGATTATAGATATGATTTACATGTTACAGTTTCATATTTCCTGTACTTTTACCCACTCCTATATATTGAAAAGTATACAAAATTTTGTTAAATATATATTTTAAAATTAAAAATACACAACTATCATAAGAACTGTACAACAATATAAAATATATGGATCTCCCTGAATGCGCAAAATGTAAAATGTTGGAATCGAATTTCTAAATCCATCAAATAGCATTGAAAAGCCAACTCAATAGCCAAATGAAGAAACATTATACCAAATAAAACATTTATCCTTACGATTCCAACACATTTAAAGTCTAACTACTTGATCTCGCCATGATTAAAAATAAATTAGCATAGTATTTACATTGGTTGCAATAGCACTACTAGATGAAAATGCTGATAAAAATTTTTTTGGGTGGTACTTAAATGGTGTTCCTATTTTTATGTATGTGGAAACACTCAGTCTTTATTTCTTGCAAAGCATGATATTCGTAGTTATTCTTTTCATTCATATGCTAAGGTTTAAACTTCACCAAGGGAATATTTTTTGATGCAAGACACTTGTCACAAACCCACTCTGCATACACTTCAGCAGTTAGTAACTGAAAAGCTGCCTCTGTTAAACCGGTGCATCCTCTACAACACATAAAATTTAGACAGTGTTCACTGTGTTCGATAAATTACCTGTGGAACCAAAAATTACAACCGCTTTCGCATAGAATAGCTTGATCGTTATCGTGCACCTCCTTGTGGCAGACTCCACATGGGTATATGGGAGGAGCGTTTGGATTTTGTGAATTAAAAACCTACAATAAACTGCTCAAACTCTGAATGCAGTCTCAAACCCGCTTACCATAGGTTGATCTGCAGGATAGACCTTCCCCGCACTAACAGGCATAGGTTTTGAATACATACTGTTCATTGGTGTCATCATAAAGTTATTGTTTAGAGGAGGTCCTAAAAAGGGACAATATTGCGATAGAAATTAAGTCCTATATGGTACAAAGTGAAATGTTCATACTTAGATAATCACCTATTGATCCATTAGGTGTATTAACCCCCATGTTTGATGGTAATGGTCCATTCATTTGTGGATTCATTCCATTCATTGGGCCATTCATGGGCCCATTAGTCATTGGACCACTGATTGGGCCAGGTCCGCCCATTGGGCTAGAAAGTGGTGCATTCATCGGACCGTTACCTACGCCCGACATGGGACCTGTCATGCCCGGTCCCATAGGACTATGCATTGGCCCTAAAAACTAACTTGTAACACAATTCCTATTATGTCAAATAAGCACCTGCAATAGCGTGAATGGAAGAGCCATTTGCAGTAGACATCATATGTGACCCCATTTGAGCTCCCATTGGCCCATTCACTCTAGGACCTGTCATCATCATAGGACTATTCATCATCTGTGGATTCTGATGTGCATTCGGACTGTGGATCATTGGTGGACCGCCCATCGGCATCTGAGAACCTAATATAATGTTCCCACAACATTGTGCAAAGCTTAAAAAATTGCACTCACCCATCGGTCGACACATATTCATAGAATGCATCGCGATACCCATATTTGGAGGCATTCCCATACCAGGTCCAACCCTAACAGAATTTAAACTACTAACTGAACTGGGGCAATCATCAAAAGGGTTCGACGCGACTATTGTATCGCCATAACCCGATAGAGGTGGAGGTAATAGATCTTGTACATTCGGACTTTGTTGTATGGGGGTTTGTACGTTCTTCCTTCGTTTTTTAGGATTTGAAGCACTACTCGATAGATCTGTACTCAAATTTGGAACGTTCAGCCGAAATGGTGACAAGTGACTCATTTCTTATGAATAGTACCCACTGTACTAGAATTGACTACCATAGGGGTCTTTACATTGCCATAACATTTTCTTAGTTTCAAGTACTCTCTTATCTTAAACTGAAACAAACGACTTACACTATTAACGTAAAGTGTCTTTGAAATGGTCTTTTACTTCTAATTTTATTATTGGTACTGGGATAATGAAGATAACATAATTCTATTTCACTAAACTCATAATAACAAACTTAACTACCTGAAGTGAGCTAGACTGACTTTCAACTCGTTCAAGGAACACAACTGCATTTATGTTATAACATACAGGGTGACCCAAATTTTTAACTTAAAAAAAATGTATAGCATGTTGTAGACGTTTTCAACGCGTTTAGTTATGGACTATTAAAAACAAGTGTCTTCGTTATAATAATATTAGACAATGACTTTCTATGAGTGAGATGTGTTTAATGTGGACTCAAATACTTGACTCAGTTACATGAATCCGAGATACTGGAAGCAATTAAAAAATTGAAACCGAGGTCGGCTATAGGCGAAGATGGAATCCCACCCTACATCGTGAAAGGATGTGCATCTTTATTGGTAACCCCCATACTACATCTATTTAATTTAGCTTTGCAAACATGTACATTCCCTGAAGCTTGGAAATGCACCAGAATAACACCAATTCACAAAAGTGGAAGCCGAAAATTAGTTGAGAATTATCGCCCAATTGCAATTATACCAGCAATAGCGAAAATTTTCGAAAGAGTGATCTATACTAGACTTTATTCCCATCTCAGCAGTATAATTGCAGATCAACAGCACGGTTTCACGCGGAACAAATCAACGATTACCAATTTAATGCAGTTTACGCATTTCTCAGCAGGAGCCTTGGATGAGAGAGCCCAGGTGGACTGTGTTTATACAGATTTTGCGAAGGCATTTGACACAGTATCCCATCAAGTCTTGCTCCGTAAACTTGTTTTAAATTGCGTAAGTAATCCGACCGTCAAATTCTTGAAATCTTATTTATCTCTCCGTAAAACAAGAGTGAAATTCAATGGTGTGTATTCAGCCGAATTTTATCCCTCATCAGGCGTTCCCCAGGGAACACTTCTTGGTCCTTTTCTGTTTCTCTTATACATAAATGATTTACCGCGAGTGATAAAAAACTCGAAAGCACTACTATTTGCGGACGACCTAAAACTTTTTAATAAAGTCCAATCCCCAAGTGACTGTTTAAATATTCAAGAGGACATTAACTCAGTAATTAAGTGGTGTATCAAAAATAAACTAAAACTAAATATCAATAAGTGTAAAGTCCTTACTTTTACTAGATCGAAAAATTCCTTACTTTTTGACTATAAGATGAATGGAAAGGTCTTGCTACGAGTCACCTCCGTTAAGGACCTGGGCGTGTTTTTCAATAACAACCTTAACTTCAACTTACACATTGAATACCTAACAAATGAGTGTTACAAACTTCTTGGTTTCGTTATCAGAAATACACTCAATTTCACGAATATACAGACAATGCTAACCTTATATAATGCGTTTATTAGATCCAAGCTTGAGTATGCTGCATGTATCTGGTCTCCTCAAACTCTCAAATACTCAGACATGATCGAAAAAGTGCAGAAAAAGTTCATCCGAGTAATGTTTTTTAGGTCAACCCAAAATTATCCACATTTGATCTCTTACGGTACCCAGCTTAATTACTTAAATAGTACTTTCGGCTTAGATATAACGAGGTTAGAAACCCGACGGTACATTGCCTCCACAATTTTTGTCTTCAAAATTTTACACAACTTGTTATACTCTTCCGAATTACTGCAAGAAATTAAGCTTAAGGTACCATTTGTTAAGCTGAGGCAAAATAATACTATTTTTGTAGTTAACAACACAACTTCCCCACTTATTAAGATCTTGATCACTTTAAATAAGTTATCCTCAGTTAATGATATCGACTTTTTTCACGATCCCCTAAATTCAATAATAAATAAAATTAGATCTTAAGCCCTAATATTTGTTCAGAGCCCCAGTGCCATGTAATTGGAATTTTTATTCTGTATGGTTTCTGGTTAAATAAATAAATAAATAAATAAATAGAGAGGTTTTGAGGAATCGAGTTATATGCCAGCAATTCAGTTTTGACTAATTTTAGAATACAGAAATCGACAACTTATACGTATGAGGGTATTTTCCAGACTTTATGCGTAAATATAAACCAATCGATAAATAAAACCAACTGGAATTTGGAAATGTTCTGTCATGTACTACTAAAACTCAACCCAACCCCAGTCATGTCTATAATCCATCGAATGCGGATATAATGAAAACATTGCTCCAAATCGAAGAAACGCAAGAGTAATGTTAGCAGTAAATACATGCAGCATCTAATCCAAATTAATTCAGACAAACAAATTTTGTTTTCGTAATTACGTAATTCGTTAAATGGTTGTTTCTACCTTTGCGAAATCATATTGGATGTAAACGTTTCCATAGCTACGTTCCTTTTGGGTAAACAAAATTTATCGAATTTATTCAAAATTTCGTCTGTTGAACAGTCGACAATCGGTATCCGTTCCAACAGTGACTTCCCATAGCGATTTTTCTGATCCATAATGTCGAAATAACGTGTTATGAATCGACGGTACAGTTTGATCACCGATTAAACAAACAAAGGTACTTATTTTGATTGTTTCGTCATCTTTCATTCTTTTATTTGCAAGCATCCAAACTAAGAATTTTGGTTTCCATTTCACCATTCCTTTCCACGATTTAAATGAATCAACTTTGATGGTCAGTCATTACTCATAACGGTCTCCCATGCTTTGTCACGTTGAGTTTTGTACAAATTATAATATATTTATGTAATGCAGCAACAATATGCTAATTCAACATCTTGCCTATTCGTTAATTCAGTTTTACTTTTTACACCATGTATTAACACTACAAACCTAATTATCCTTGTGTTCAGCAAACTACCTACCTAAACTTGCAGCCTTTATTATTACTGCTATCCCCTTTTATTAGATAATAAATAAACAAATAAATTACAGATCACTTGCTTGTTAACTCAGTTTTCTTCTTTCCTACAGACCTGCTTTAAAGAGATAAATTGGGAAGTATAGGTACTTATAGCCATATATAGAATAATTAAAAGATTTATTATTTCCTTTGTTTTGCTGTATTAATCATTTGTTACCGCGCTCATCCTTTTCAGAACACGGTACCTATACATGTAAGTATACAAGGTACCTTATTATTATTTATTATAACTTATATATCGACCTCATCATTCTATGTATACCTACTTCTTTGACCTACCTTTTATTGCGGAACATGTTTCTATTGTGAGTATCTAACATTAGGTACAGCTACGGTGAATTAGTATAAGTTCTTTTTCGAAATTGTATGGACAGTTTCGTAGAATTTTTTAAAACCAAGTGCATTGTTGGTTGAATATCTGATAGTTTATCTACAGCGATTAACCGAAAATTCCGAATAATTGAGGCAATCGCAATTTTTAACTCCAACATGGCGAACCTTTGACCTGCAACACAATTTAAGACCGGTTTATGCAAGTGTACATTTTTAAAAATAGGCATACCTATACAATTTCTTGGTCCCGCACTAAACGGTATATACGCAAAAGGGTGGCGGCCACGTGAATTTTCGGGCGAAAATCTTTCGGGGTCAAATTTTTCTGGATTAGGAAAAACAACTGGGTTTCGGTGTAAGGTAAAAATATGAACATGCACAACTGTGCCTTTTGGAATCAAATAATTAGAGGCCGTCCTCAGATCAGTTGTCAGTTTTCTGGCGATGATTGGAACACTGGGAAACAAGCGCAAAGATTCCTTTATTGTCATCTCCAAATAATGCATATTTTGGACATCTGCATACGTAAATTGACGATCGGAGTCACCCATCACGTTACGTATCTCTTCGGCCACCCTTTTCTGAAAATCGTTCGTTTTATCAAGTATAACACCAATATTGAACAAACCTGTATATGAGGATTGTTGGCTAGTAAAAGTAGCGCAAACTGTATACCGGATGAAGTCGTATCGTGTCCCTGTAAAGTAATGCATTTGTATGCTTAATCGATTGCGAATTCATTGCTTATTATAACTTCAAAAGTAAACGTGTCGACTTCTTCTCGAATTCCTTCGTCCTGAATGCTAGCACCTTGATTTCGAAAATGCAAAAGTAAATCTAGTAAAGCCAACCGCCTCTTTGGCTCATCACCTTTTTCTCTTATACTTGCCGACAGAATGTCTACATTCTTAAATTGAACTTTTCGATTTTCTATAACATCCGTGGTAAATTTATGCAAAATTTTTATTAGTGCGTTCTCCTGCTTCCTAAGCTGTGTGAAGTAGTAGAAACACTCTACGAACAACCAAGGGCGCTTTATACGCTCCAAGATCACTTGCCCCATGCTAAACAAACGAAATCTTTAAGGTAAATTTCATCTGAAAATTTTAATATTTACTTATAAATTGATGTCATGTATTCTTTGGATCGAGCGTCATTTTCCTCTAATTTCGTGCCCATTGCTGTTTCTAGATAGAAACGTTAATTTACTTAAAAGGTAACGCTGTATTGAGATAGTTTTAACATCCTTCCTTATTCTGATGATACTCAATTTTCAAACAGAAGGTGTGGTTACAATGTTAGGAGACATGCTAAGGAATCGTATCGTTACGAAAAGAATTATTTCATTAAATGTAAGTGAATGGTAAACAATAGATATAAAGCAAAAGCGTCTTTCCACTCATGATTGGTGAGCACTTGGATCGATGAAGGTAATAATACCTTTTTTTTAATTCGTTGTTTTTGGTTGTATCATAAAATTATATATTAAAATACTTTACCGCATATTGTTCGTAAAGTGAATTCTCCAATGATCGGCTCAATAAGAGTCTTTGCTTTATTACATTCTAATTCAAGGTTTTGAATGAGCAATTCACTTCTTTCGATCATTGTTTTTGAAAAATTCTTCAGTATTCCAAAATGAAATGCGGGAGTTATCAATTTTCGTCTATAATGCCATTTTGTATCTGAAATTAAGGTACTTCATCATAATATTACGCTATATAGTTACTATAGGTATAACCGACCTTTACTGGTTAATAAACCAGTACCCAACCAAACTTGTAAGAATTCGTAAATTCTACTTTTCTCCAAGTTTTCGTTGTTTGTCAACAAAACCTGAAAGTAGGTATATTATACTGCAATGTGTAGAGTTTTTTATGGAGAAATGAAAGGTCCAGTATGTTGACCTCTGTACGTATGGAAATAAATTTATAATGTACTTTGGACAACATATTTCACTTAATTCTATTGGAAAAGCTTACTTTTTCAAGACGGGTATCTATAGACCGTTTGTAACCGTAATCTCATTCACTGCAAAAAAAATTTGTGAACTTTCATTACTCAATCAAAGTTCAACTTTGATTACTGAATCAAAGTTCACAAACCTTTTAAATCAAAAATTAGGTAAGCATTTTCAAAATTAGTGATTTTTCAAATATTTTGATTTTAACGGGCTACAAACGGTTCGTCATTCAACAAAAATTCTTGATAAAACACGCGTTATAAATACTCGTATACAAAACATTTATGTAATTTGCCCGCGTCGCGAAGTTTTTGTTTTTGGGTCCACTTGGATCGTCATTTACTTACCTCGATGTCTTCTGGACATAATAATTCAACTGAAGCTATATGAGCATTCCATAAACGGTATATTGGATAGTACCTTTTGTTGTTCTCTTGAAACATCCGCCAAACATATTCTGAAATCAAACGCAGTATTAAAAAACAAAGATAGTGACGATTAAGCGCGGATGAAAACAGTAGGTACGGCTAAATTAATTTATTGTGTCATAAGTATTAGAAGATATACTTAGTTTTCAATCGTAAGTATACTCACCAGGCGGCCCAAACATTTCATAAGTATTGCCTACAACAGGCAAAGTTGGTGGTCCAGGTATTTTGTTAATTAGTTCAATGTATCTTGAATCTGTCTGTCGCCATAATAAGGTAATTATAAATATTAGCAAAAACCCTAATGCAATTATGAAATAGTACATGTTCTCATGTTACGTACCGAAGCAGCAGTAATCAATAATTTGTTTTAATCTAAAAGTAAACAAGCCTATTTAGCAAAAACATTACATTTAGATAAATCGGTTTTGATATAGGCGTAACTAGATTAGTACCTATCATGTTTTGCAAGAAAACTCAGTCAGTTAATCAGCTTTGAAATTTTTTCTCCCTATCATTTAGTCCCTAAAGAGAGGCAGGCAAAGTGCGAACTCGAGCTCCGTTTCTCACTTTGCCTGCTGCATTGGTCATTTCACGAAATGCCTGGGGATTTTGCAAAATGCCGGATTTCTCAGTTTGCCGGTAACATATACACCGCAGTATATCTAAGGTTGCATATTTATGAATGTGTGTTATATTATAATTTATTGGATATGTTAGGGAGAGAGCTGGACAGTACTCGATTTTGTAAATACTTTTTAGTAATCAAATCCTTTAAAGTATTCAAATACTGTAATTAAATACTTTTATGGAAGCAGTATTTGTTTTTGTAACTCAAATACTTTCACAAATATTTAGTATTCGAATACCTCGCAAAGTATTTGGATACTTCGTAAAGTATTCGAATACTTCGCAAGGTATTTGAATACTTTGAGAAGTATTCGAATACTTCGCATAGTATTTGAATACTTAACCTTCCTTTTTTTACCATAAATCGACTACTCCAAAATTTCTCGGGAAAACACTTTTTCTTATTAATTTTGGTGCGTAGAATCCAAAACAATTCGTACTTTTTCGATCAGACTTCTCAATCAAAGTTATAGACTAGAAACCAATTTCGAAAGAAAATTCAAAGGGCTGTAACTTTTGAACTAGTAGCCCAATCTGGGAACTGTTTGAAATTATGGATTCTACAGGCCACATTCTATAAGAAAATTTTTTTTCCGGGTCGATCTGAGACAATTTTTTTTTCGTGGCTCAAAAAAAGGCATGTATAACCTTCCTTTTTTACCAAAAATCGACTGCACCAAAATTTCTCGGAAAAACACTTTTTCTTATTAATTTTGGTGCGTAGAATCCAGATGATTCGTACTTTTTCGATTAGACTTCTCAATCAAAAGTTATGGACTAGAAACCAATTCCGAAAGAAACTTTAAAAGGGCTGTAACTTTTGATCTAGTAGCCCAATCTTAGAACTGTTTGAAATTATAGATTATACAGGCCACATTCTATAAGAAAATGTTTTTTTTAGTAGTAATACATAATAACCAATTCGTTGGTTAATTTAGTTCAGGATAGTAAAATAATTCGAAAATATTATAAATGTGCAAAACAAATCCTCTTTGGAGCTTAATTACGAGTTAGAACGGAAAAAAATGGATTTCTTGAGGATTAAGTTCGAACTAATAGTCAAAGCTAGACGAGTAAATAATTTTAATTAGTCATCGCCAAAATAAAAGTGAAGATCGAATGTTTTCTAGTATATGTTTGGAAGGGGATTATAAATTAATAATTGTAAGAAATCGATAGTCGAAAGTATTCACGAAATTTGCGTTCATTTCCAAATACCTCTTTCTATTGTTAATTTTATAAACCTCTTCCAAATCAAAACATTCGATTTTCACTTTTATTTTGGCGACAGCTAACTAAACTCAAAAACAATATCTTTAAGTTATTCTTTCTAGTAACAAATGCACAGCTATTGTTATGATTTTGCCAAAATACTGCACCTACCACACGGAGCGAACTACCAGCATACAATCACGCACATTATTGATTGTAACAATAACAAAACACCGATAAAGTTGAACATTACAGGTTCTGCTAACGCTCACAGTGTTCTAATAGACCCCGCATAATATAAATTCCCCATCTTTTACCAATAACAAGTAGAAATTGTGAATTTCTTTTGTCGTGCGAAGCTGTCACCATCTACAATAATTTCATCGAATCATTAGCGTCAATTCTCTGACTTTAGCCACTTATTTAACAATTAACAGTTGTCGGTAGCCTAGACGGATGTTACATATGTCAAAGCACATTATAACCTCAAAACACAACAGAAAAGAAAATATACTTTAATTTCATACTTTTGGAACATAAACCGTTCTCGTTTGAAATAATTCGTTAATGAATAATGTGATAGGTCATAAAATGACTCCATTCAGAATTTTATATTTTAAAGACTATTTTCTAATATAAATAGATATAAATGCCACCGCCCCCTGTGGTAACGGGATTGTCCCCTATAGAAGGGCCCCCAGGTACGAGAATAATAATAAGGGGAGAAAATTTTGGAACAAAATCTTCGGACCTTATAGGTAAACGTCTTGTATGCCGTAGACTTTTCTTTTAAATCTGAATTTGCAGGGCTTAAAATATGTGGATGCGATTGTTTACTTTCTGCAGAATGGAAATCTCCTAATAAAATCATAGCTCGTTCCGGCCCCGGAAAGGGTAAAGGGGATGTTATTGTAACAACACGTCTTAATGGGGTTGGCACATGTAACGTTAGCTTTAAAGGTGTGTATGGTAACTTCGTGATGGGCTGTTTGTTAAAATTCTAAGTAGGGTATCATGAAACAATTGGGCCTATGAAAGAGAGTGCAGTATGGGTTGAAGAAGCTCCGTTGTTCGTCTGGGGGCGGCACTCGCTGTCCCCCGGAAGCTACCAACAAGAAGACCCTTTGGGCTTATCAGTTGAAGGAAACGACAAGAAATTTCCTGAAGATGATCTGCTTGAGTTATTTCCTAACGCAACTGGCGACATTTCATCCGAGAATTTTTCAGCGTGTTGGTTTCTACTGGAAAATCATCATTGTACATCGTTTAATGACTTGCAGGCGGGGTACTTGCAAAACCTTATTCGATTATGCCACTAATCAACTTTTGCAGTCTGCTACATCTACGTCGCAAAGTCGAAGGGCAAAAGGAAGGACAGTTGTCGTTCTTAAAAGCTAATGTCGGATCCGTTATGGATCAAGCAGATACAATTGCAACGTTGATGGATAAATTTGAAAAAGATGCGAGTGTATACGGTAGTGAGTCCACACGAAAATTGGAAAAGTCTATCAAAGGTGAGTTTTGTTTTTCTACAAAGCCAGAAAACATTATGTTACATTTTATTTCGTACTCTGACTTTTAACATTAAGAGTAAACTCTCTTCCCTTCAGTGGGACCTGCTTTGCAATTTTTCTAAATTTTGAGCAAAACACGTAGATTCATTGAGAGGTGCCCACCACATTTTGTGTCATGAACTCATTAGAGCTTTTAAATTACTTTATTACTATGCTGTTTCCAAAGCTAGGCAAGACTAGAAAGCTATGGAAAGGGAAGACAAAAATTGGTATTTACACTCTGAATTTGAACATTAAAGTTTGAGTACAAAAATATCTGTATGTGGCCCCAAACCGATTAAACACAATGGAATTTTTTCAGAATCGGAAAGGGAGGCGAGAAAGTTATTCGATGATGTGTTAACGCGAAGAGATCGAGCGGAGAAAACTAGAAATGCCTTAAATGTTTTAGCTAGATTTAGATTTTTATTTTGTCTACCATGCGTAATAGATAGGAATATTAGAAAAGGAGAGTACGATATAGTAATAAACGATTATACAAGAGTAAAGAATCTTTTTAATAAAAGTGAGGTGCCCGTAAGTTACCTTTATGTCACAATGTACGGCAGTTTTAGTGATTTAATTTTTTTTAGGTTTTCAAAACGGCGCTCAGCGAAATAGAGAAACGTGTAGTCGGACTGCAAAAGATGCTACATGATAAATTACAAAAAATGCCTATACCCATTGAAGAACAAAAACGCTTAATTAGGTACTTAGTAAATTTAGATGCACCCTACGAACCCGCTTGGGACGCCATTAGGAGTTACTCAAATTACATTAACTTGAGATTTAAGCAATGTTACGAGGAACACAAAGCTGGAGAGAATGCTGTCGCCGAAGAATTATGTATGTTGGTAATTAATATAGGCTTGTCAGACTTGTAAATTGAGGCTTATTTTACTATCTGATTCATTCTTATTCGAGTTACTTCGCGCATGCGCAGACCCAATTTTTGAATGGATGTGCAAACGTAGTTTTAACACGATCTCAGTTGTTAATATCTGCAGTAAGAGTTTTTTAAATATCCTAACAAATAAGGAGGAATGAAATAGGAAGGTTCCTGTGCGGACGCGAAATGCTGCCTTTCCATCGCCTCTACACTTTAAAACAAAAAGAAACAAATTTATTGTATGATCTGGATGTTGAAGGGATCTATTAGCTGTAGGTTTTGTAACAGAAAGTTAGTATGAAACTTTGCTGAACACAAGCGAAGGTAAAATTTATGGAAAGTGTAATACTGCAGCTAATTAGAGATGCAAAAGGATACAAAAATGAATAATAAAAGCACTGAGGAAATCAACACGGAATAAAGAAAAAAATAAGTGAATTGAAAAGAGTAGAAACAAAAGAAAAATAAGACAATAAACCGAAAAGTCCCAAATACAAATTTCAAAAAATCAAAAATATTACAAATTGGGCCGTGAACTTTTTAAAGATGGAAGAAAAGTGGAATATAGAATCCAAAACATACATATCGCAAGTTTAAACAAGTTAACAATTTTTACATTTTTTCACTGTCTTAAATGTTTTTTCCCAAAAAAATAAGTGGAAAATTACAAAATAAGCTGGAAAATTTGCATAAATAAAAGAAAAGTAGGAGACACTATGACTGATCCCATTTTCAAAGTTTAAAAAAATTGGGAGCTGGTTTGTCTAGGGGAGAAACACTTTTATTAATATGAAATCTATTTATATTGTATTTTAGAGTTGCGTTTTGGATTTTTATTAGCATCAATCATTTACAGGCAAAATGAAAAATAGCCAATCGGCTTCAAAGTACAGCAAATTCAACTCTTCGTATGATTCTTTAAATGCAGTTCCAGAAAATATATTGTTTGTGGAGGATTTATGTCAACTACTGTCAGAGTTATTTCCAGATTTATGGAAGCTAGGTCAATCTTATTTCACTGGGGAGCTGCATGCCAATGTGGAAGTGGGGCATCAAGCGAATTTTAAAGTAAGTGTCTTCACGAATGGGATCCATTATTTGAAAATTGATTTTAGAACATTGTAATGACAATAATTGATCTGTTCTGTAAGACTTTGCGATCGGCTGTTATTCCACATACGTTGGATAAAAATGCGGATAAAGCGCTTGTGGGAGCTTGGACGATTCCCGACATTGACATTATTGCATTGTGGCTTCCAGTATGTTTGCGTTACATTCGATCTACATATAAAATACTAATTAAGTTAGACTTGCCAAGCGAAGCTTTAGATATAATATCCACGTTTATACTAGACTTCAAACTTTATTGTATGAGTGTTTTGTTAAAGCAAACAACGGAGCAAGTTAGGCAATTGTCAAGTCAGGAGAATTGGAAAATAGAATTTGCCGGCACTCACAGTGGAATAACGGAATTGGTAAGGTTTTTCAAATATATCTTTGGTTTCATTAGAACAGTGAATCGGTTTGTATGCAAAATAGAAAGAATGCTAACATAATAGTGAGAATTGTAACCTCAACTTGGCTTTTGTTTAGTATGTATTTAATAAGTATATTAGATCGGTTTATTATTGTTGGACGCGTGCATTTTTCACACGTCTAATGTAATCGATGGAGTTGCCTTTAGTAACCGATGTTACTAATAAAATATCAGTAAGTTCGATTTATAAATAATAAATGTATTTTTGCGATGCGCGCACGCTGTTTTTCACAAGCAGAAGAACCGAAAATATCCTGTCCCGAACAGCATCCTTAAATGAGCTGAACTTGTTGACCGCCCATCTCAGAGATCCCTCGGTAACCACCCGTGCAGTTACTTTTCAGTCAATCGGCCTTGCACCGATCCGGGTGGCTCCTTTTGGTGGGTCTCTGAAGTTACGTAGTCCTCAGGCCCGGGAAAAATAGAATACAGAGTTTATGGACTTCCGGAAGACCCTCTATGTTGCCACAGAAGGTCCTCCAAGATCCTTATTTAGACCTTCGAATATGGTCCTTATACCTGAGCTCATTGCTTGTAACTATTAGTTTTAACTTCATAAAAGAAAATTGACCCTGTTTGTCCACTATGTGTGTTAAAATTTATTAGATCAAAATTGCACTATGTGGCACCACTGCTAAGATCTCGATCCCATAGACGAACGGATAAAATTCACGCATGTACCAACTGCATGTCTCATTCATAATAGACACTTAAAGTGTTAAATGTGTCAGTATTATGTTGGTTTTTTTTCTATGGTTTATTGTCAATAACAGGCACGTTTTGCAAGACTCATCATTTTACACAACTTTTTATGACTTTTAGCCAATCGAGTTTGAAGAGTTAGTGCAGACTGTGATTCGTTTAATTAAGGAATCTGTGTTAACGACGGAACAACGGGAAATCTCACTATTAGAAAATGCGAACGCACAAAAAGAACTAGACAAGCAAGTGGAGACGCTTTTATCGTCCTTTTACAGTGTCCTGAAGAGCCTAGCATTTCAGGACGATGAGAGCGGATATAATGAAGATCATTCACCTGTTGTATCGCAACTGATTGGTACCCCGATAACGGCTTATAGGAATCATGACGCAAATAATCACATACCCATTTGGGAATGCAGATTGTTAACAACACTTTCTAATTGCCAATACACTAATAATACGGTTCTGGTGCATATATCTCGGTCGTTTACGATGAACGGTTATTCTCTCTCGAAATTGGCTATTGAAAATGTTAAAACGAAATTCACTTCACTCGAAAAGGCACTTTTGGACGCATATTTGGAACATAAAAGTGATCCACTTGTAGGCACAATTGAGCCCTCGATGTATTTGGGTAGATTCGATTGGGACACTAATAATATTCCGTCAGACATCCGACCCTATGCTAAGGAGTGTATTAATAATTTGATTCACGTACACTCTGAGGTAAGGATAAAGTTAAAAAACACACAGTTACTTATACTTTGTAGGTGTACACTGTCTCGCCCTCTCTTGTTGAAAGTGTGCTTCCGCAAGTAGTCCAAACGATCGCCGAGGAATTATTTAGGTTAATGTCTTGCGTAAAGAAATTTAGTTTAGCCGGAATACAACAAGCGCGTGCGGATATCTGCGCATTGCAAGAAATTTTATTGCCATACTCGACACCGAAGGCTAAGTTGGTTATTGAAATTCGTAAGGTACCTTTTAATAACATATTCGTTTTAGAACGTTTTTTAATGATGCTTTAGATATAATTCCTTCTTTAGAAAAGTCAAGCTCAACGTAAGTTCAATTAATCAATAACAAAAAATGGAATCTTTTTTTTAGGATTATCGAAGATATACTAAAACAGGTTCGTGTTAGAATGCGACTGCAAATTCTTTGTCTATCAAGTAGTGCTCTAAATGGTCCGGTCATAACATGATTATCGTGATAACAGTGATTGATGTTATTTTGCGAAGCGCATTCAGTAGTCAACGCCTTTTTTAGCTATCTACCTCATTTGTTTTTTAATCCCTTAAATGACAAAGTGCTTTTGTTTAGAAAACATTCACTTTCATATGAATTACACAGATGATGTGTATATTGTGTAGTAAAAGAGATATTATTAATTTAATGATTTATTTACATGTAATTTGTAGTGAGTTGTAAGGATGTTAATTTAATTGGACTCCGTACAAATAACATTCGGATCATTTTAAAATTAATATAAATCACTATAACAAATGGTGCTTCGTTTTTACAACTCAATACAATTATGCTTAGCTTATATATGTTTTTTTGTAGGTTTAATTTGGGAATGTACATAGAACGAAATCAAGATATTGTATATAGCATTATTTTAGCTTTACATTTTAGTTCATTTTTCTTTTTTTTATTGCCAAAATCTACAATTGGTATTGAAAGAGAATGTGTATTTTTATGTATATATTGTATGTAAGTAATTTTATGTATCAAACTTATTTGAGTAAATTATTTATGGTAATTTCAGCATTTTGGATATCACTGTAAATTTTCTAATATTTCGCCTTATTAAATGACTGTTTTTGATTGACGAAAGCATAATTATGACACGTGACTAAGCTTATTGTAAATTGTTTTTAATTTCTTTTATTAATTCCATGTTGTATGTCTCTGCTTTAAAACATCTCTAGGTTGTGACTAGGTAATGATGTTAATAACATAGGAACATGTGATATCACTAGACAACAAATGTTAGAAAATTTATAGTTTGTGATTTTTGTAAAATGTCTAAAACGACAATTTCATACACTTATTTATTTTGTTTTTATTTTCATAGATTTATTTGTATGTTATAGGGAAGTAGTAATGCTGCAGTCTAATTGTAGTAACAATAATTATATGAATAAAGTTCATTTCTAACTTTACATATTTTTGGCAGACATACAAAATGATTTAGCACTGGTGCAGTGGAGCGGTGACAATTTAGGACCCTACCTTATAACATGGTGAGCATTCCCACAAGTTTATTACGACTAGGTTTTGGAAATTAGTGAAGTTCATTGATAATTGAAACATTGCTTTTCGTAAGCTCATTTAGGTAGGTAGGTACATTCAAAAATTGTCAGGTAAAAACTAACTGCTTTGCATCTTGGCAAAATTAGTAGAGATATAATCAACTGTTTCAAACCAATATAGACTGCGAGCAATAAACGCAAACTGAGGGACTAAGGTTGCCACATGGCCAGGATTGTTCCAGAATTAGCTGCACTGTCCTGGATCCTGAACTGATAATAAATGTAGGAATAGGTACTAGCCTTTACTTATTTAGAGAAATAAATAAATATTCTCGTTTACAATTTTGCATTGCTGTCTGTTCGTGTGCACGATAACTTTACTGTTTACGTTGGATCTCTGATGAAGCTGCCTGTTCGAGATTGAATTCTATGTGTATTTTCCAAATTTATAGATATCAACTATGCTCTCATTTTATAATTTGCTGAATTATCAAAGAGAATAAACAGTCCAGAAATAAATGACCATTTTTTTCCACCGTGAATACATTTAACGCGTCCATAACTGATGCGCTTCAGATACTTCGACTCACGTCTTACCATACAGCGGTAAACTCCGACTGTACCTATTTTAGATTTCAATTGTGCAACTAATAAAAAAATTCCCATTTGTTGCACACTTAATGGACCACACTGTTTACTCCTTCAAATCGCATTTTAAAGCAAATTTGGGAAAGTCTATTTGAAAATAAAGCACGCATGGAACGTAAATGATATTTTACCATCAATTCTACGAATTCACGCGTACGCTATTCAAATATTGTAGGAGTTTTTTCCGTGGCACTGGCAGTCTATTTAATTTAGTTCGTTTAGTACTTTTGATTTTAGGGGTATAATCAAGGATGAAGTTCAGAGAAAAGCGAGAGACAAAACAAAAACGATAATCTCATTCAGTGTTCTTTTCCTTCGAAAGGAAGTTGTTCACGAGAATTTTTGTTTGGGCTGGTACAACTGTTTTACTGAGTGCAGCTCTTTTGTTTTTTGCACCTCTACAGCCTCCCTGGCTTTAAGGTATATCCCCGAAAGCTGATGAAAGGTAGTAGTGTACCAACCTAAGTCGGGTCGTGCCCAATATGAAATGGCAAAGGATTACAGGCCTATCAGCCAGGTTCTGAAGCATCAGAGTTATTATATCCTCAATCGGGACGACGGAAATGAGCTCATGCATCGGTTACTGGAGCATGTCCGCAGGAGTGTTGTCTCCACTGCTATAGTGCCTGGACGGAGTGTATATACACAGGGATTTTGGAAAGTTGACGCATGATCAGAGACAGACATCAGCTCCTTGGCGACAGTTATCTACTGGATCCGGGGAGAGTAAAGAAAATTAGCTAAACAGGGTGTTATCCTTTATTGAGAGGAACGGGGCTCTAACAGATGTGAAAGAAAAGCCTTTGGTGTGCCTTAGTGCTGCCTGGTCGAGCTTCCTTGTGAATAGAATTGAATAGACGATAGAGTACGGCTTTCCCGTTCTCATCATGACTGTCGTATACTATATCCGACCCATGTGGCGCAGTTCAGTTAAAGCTGGACTGTGGTGCTAAGGGTCCCGGGTTCGGGCATGGATATTTGTAAATGTATAGTGGGTTGGGTTGGTAAAGCAGCCTTGGCCGAAACCCTGCCCACCCAAAAATAAAGGCAAAATAAAAAATAAAAAAAATAAATCCTTTAAGACTGTGTAGATGGATAGGCAGTTTTGAGTTCGTTTACTGTTCAATCAGTCGCAACTGAAAGCCATATGGGCACTAAACTTATAAGTGAAGAGAGTTCATTCGATTTATCCAAAAGTCATTTATACCTACCTAATATATAATTTTAACACTCCCTAACATCTATATACTTGAAGCTGTGTCTTTTGCAAAAAAAAATGAGGGTAGTAATATATACCAATCCGACTTACATGACTATATAATACACGCTCCAAGAACAATATACGCACCGAGTTATGTAGACTGTCCAAATCTCAACATGGAGCCTTATATCAGTGTCAATTTTTATTTAATTGCCTTCCCACGAAATTTAAAAATTTAGATTTTTCAACTTTTAAGACCAATGTTAAAAACTTTCTTCTAGTCAATCCTTTCTATTCCCATCAAGAATTCGTAAACAGTTGTAAATCTGTGAATTAGGTATTGACATTGTTCGTAATTTAGTTTAGTTTAGTGTAATGCTCATGTTTGTACTTTTAATAACCATATTTTTGTTTTATCTGTTTACATGTAATTTTGACGAGTGTAACCACGCAGAAACACAAATATATATATTATTATTATTATCTAAACATCATTTAACATCAAGAAGTATAGCAGTCAGCTTTATAGCCATAAGCACCTTAATTGGCTATAATATATTTATTTTTACGTGATACGTCACGTTCACTTGGAAACGAATACGCTACCCGCTAGGAAAGTTTTCACTCCTATTTCATCAGTCAGTACCTACAAGAAAAAATCAAATGAGATTTCCCTCACAAGTTTTTCAAGAATCCAGAAGCATTCTTAAGTACTCTTTGACTAAGTACAGACTTTCTCATACAGCGTGGCAAGTTGATGGCCGGACATAGGGAAATAACATGGGAAAATACATTTTCGGCAATTTCTGCTGCCCATTTTAACCGAAAGAAAAAATAAAAACACCCTCTGAGAGATAATTAAAATCGGCATTAGATGTTACCAAAAAAGCGTGCTTAAGCCCTTTTTTAAAAGTATAAAAAGTTAAATTAATAAATCCAAAGAGGTGGTAAAAAAATTGGTCGGCCATGATTTAGGTAGGTACCGCATTTGTTACCTAATTCTTTGATTTAATTGCCATCTGTAATCAAGACGCCAATAACATGAATAATAATTACACTACAGACGAAAAGGGCTTTATTGTAAAATCGTTTTATACTGGGAATAGTACACAGTACACGGCGAAGTTCGTGATTTATTTTCAGTTAAGTCTGATGACAGCCCAATCATTTATAGTGTAATTATTTCACCCTTTCGTCGTGAAGTGAGATGATAGTCAAAGGAACGATTTGTTGTAGTAGGTACCTGGTCCCTAGCAAGTGCGACACGTCACTCCATGGCCAACCAGTTTTTACCAATTTTTAGGATTTTTAATTTAATTTTTAGACTTGCATAAGGCCTCACAGTAAGTTGCGTATTTTTATGTCATCCGATGGATATTTTAATTATCTATCCGAGGATGTTTTTATTTTTCCTGTAGGATGAAATGGGAAGCAGGAATTGCCGAAAATTTATTTTTCCATGTTATTTCCCTATGTCCCTCTGTTAACTTGCCACACTGACCACTGTATGTGTAGGTAATGTTTAGGAATGTGCACTGTTATGAAAAAAAGATGATGGAAATTTCTCTCAACTCCTTATATTTAAATGTATTGAAACAGGAGTATAATGCGAATGATAAAACTTATCTCCTTAGACGTAGACTAAATAAATCTCGCAGCCATAACGTTAACACTTCGTTTCATATCTGTTTTACATTTAACAATAATACCAGAACATTCCCACATTAAAAAATTTAAACAATGCAGCGACACAAGCGATGAATGTGGGTGTTTCCATTAGAAATGATGCAATTGAAGTACCTATACCTACTGGTGGGTATACTGGGGAAAATATGCATTTTACAAAAAGAAAACAATCTAATCTAAATATCTACCTGGAAACTTCTTTAGAATATATCTACCCTTTCAGCTCTATTATGTCGATGTCCATGTCCTTTATAAATTATAATTTATTAACAAAGGCGTCTGTGCGTTATATGTTGAGCACATCGTATTTAATTTATGATTATAAATCTTGTGGGGTTTTTCAGATCCAACAAATTTGAATTTTCAAACAACAATAATCGCCATAAGATAACGCACTTGCGGATGATAGGGCATCTAATTCAACGGCGTCAAAGAATACATTTTTTAATTGAATTTGGAGTAAGGTACGACTTCACACAGAAATTTTTCGATTTTTTGTGTTTTTAAGTGTATAGGTAATACTACATACTACGATATTATGAGGAAAAATGTGACTCGGTCTAAAAACCCAGTAAATTTACTTATATTCATTACGTTTTCTTATCATTGAAGGAAAACCTTTCATAATTGTCATTGTATGAACTCATTTTTATTTTAACGAATTCCCACCATGAAAATTTTGAATTTGGATTCTTAAATTAGTTTTGGTGATGCGGATCGCGGATGTCCAAAATTCTGACGAATATCAACATAATCCATTTATATCGCGGTCAATTTGATTTTTGACGTGCAAGTGATTACCTTTGTGACTAAATATTATGATCTTGATCATGATTTTTCTCAATCGAATACCTAGCGCTTTTAGGGAAATTATTTACGAACACAATCTGAAACAAACAACAAAAACCACACACATTATTTTAATAAAACGAAGGCATGCGCACTTTAGTCACATGGTAACCAACTATCTAGATGGTAAAGTATCTGTTACTTGTCCATAAAGAATTAAGGAGAGCATGACAGAGGCGTTTTGCTTAAAAAATGTGAAATGGCAAACCAGGGTGAAGCCGTGAAGACACACTATAAGAATTCCCCCAGAAGTATATCCAGACCACCATAAAAATAATGTCACATTGGGATTTAGGCACATACATTGTGCACATATAAATTATCTCAGTTGCAATAAATCGTTCAGCACTCATGATGAAGGATGAGCCATAAATTGTTGAAAATTTGAAAGTTTAATTTGCCAGACTAGACACAGAGCTTGAATTATGAATAAAAAATCGTGTTATTGAGTTTCAACGATTGTATATTTAAAATTTAAATAAATAAATATTGTGTGTGCACAGGAAGGGTAATTCATTCTTTATCT